GGTGTTTTGGGGAGGTATTTTCTGTGTTAGAGTTTTACTCACTACAGGGTGTACTTTTGGATTTTGACTCTGCACACCGTTTACATGCAGAAAAACCTTCATAACACACAAGGGGACGGGTAATAACCGGAAAAGCATGATATGTCACCTTTAATCATGATTAATCACCATTCGAACTATGTCCAAAATATGCCATTTCTTTATGTATATTGTTGGGGGAATGGAAAGATAAATGAAAGAAGGCGGATATATCCATTTAACATACAGTATTGTATGTTTATTATAACATTGTTCTGTGTGTCAAAATGAAAGACAGCCCACACANCTTTCCATCTGGAGTGATGAGTCCGGTCAACGTGTTGGTTCCACCTGTATGTCTTTGATGATTTCACCAGGGATGACTGTATACTTTAAAATATCGAACATCGACTCGCGGGGCACGATTGATTGATATTGATTGATTGATTGATTGATTGATTGATGATTGGATGGATTGATTTAAAGAACAACTCCCTCCATACAGACAGCAGAAAACAGCGATGCACACTGCTTGGTGACTGGCTGATCAACTGAGGCGGAAGGGACAGGGCGACAAAGTCAAAGTGGCGGTAAAACACACAAGGCAAATGAAAGGGTACTGAAATTAGAAAGGAATAGGATGATAAAAAGATTTAAAACAACAACAACAAAACGAAGGTTCGTAAGCACGGGGCAGGACTGGACTAAAATCAGACTGGGCATCTCGACCGGTCCACTTCGGTAACCACTAGTAAATTGTCAACGGGGGGGGGCTAGTGGACTTATCGACCGGCCACTGCCGTTACCGGCTAGTAAATTTGGCAAACGGGGGGGGGGGGGGCTAGTGACTTATCCGACCGCTATCATCGTCCGACCGAACCCACTCGGTACACTAGTAACACATTTCACAAGGGGGGGGTGCTAGTGACTTATCCCGACCACGGCCTCTTCGGTACCGCTAGTAAATGTGAAGGGGTGGGGGGGTGGGCAGTGACATCCCGACCGGGCCCACTTGGTCACCAGCTAATTACACATTTTCAACGGGGGGGGTGGATTGCTAGTGACTTCATCCAGCCGGCCGCACTTCGGTACCGCTAGTACATTTGCAAATCGGGGGGGGGGGGCTAGTGACTTACTATCCAACCGGCCCACTTCGGTACGCCTAGTACACATTTTAACGGGGGGGGGGGGTGCTATAGTACTTATCCGAGCCGGCCCCCACTTCGTCACCGCTAGTAACAAACATTCTTCACGGGGGGGGGGGGGAGTTGCTAGTGACTTATCCAACCGCCACTTCGGTACGGCGCCCCTCGCCAACATTTGCAAACGGGGGGGGCCGGGGTGGGGGCTAGTGAACTTATCCGAGCCGGCCTAGATCGTCCGACCGACCCACTTCGGTACCACTAAAGTCACACATAATTTCAACGGGGGGGGTGCAGCGCGTGACCTATCCGACCGGCCACTCGTCACCTGCTAGTAACATTTTCATCGGGGGGGAGGGGATTGTTAGTGACTTATCCAACCGGCCTACATCGTCCGACCGGCCCACGTCGGTACCGGCCCATTGAGATTCGTCCCGATGGCCAGTCCGCCACTGTTCGTAAGGCATGTGTATCATCATTCAAGACTGAAGCCTAAAACGACTGTTTGTAACAAATGAGCAAATTCTTGGAAAGATTGCCGGCTTTTGAGAGTATTGGGTTTCAGACGCTGTGAGCACTTGGCTGGGGATCTTCCGTTTTTGGTGGAAAAATAGAACTTAAGCATTAGAAGCATCAACACAAGAGGAAATCAAAACATGGCCATTTATAACTTCACCTTCATGAAGGCAGGATGATTTTTCTCTGAAATGACCCTCAGAATCAGAATGCTCTCTGTTTCAATCTCTTGGCTGCGAGGTCTCCAGTATGCTGTCTTATTTTTGCTGTACGTATTGTGCCGTGATAGCCTTTATTTGAGCTCTGTGTGTGAGTAATGCCTAAGAAGTACCTGCGTCAATGCAAGACGTCTACACAAAAGGAGGCCTGTTAAAAGGGTCCAGCAGGGGGTTTGAATAAATGCAGAACTTGTGATTGATAGCCTCTTACGCAGGTTGATAGCGATGCTGGCACTCAAAGCTCACCAGTTAACCGCAGTTTGAACTCCTTGAATACATCAGCAGTGACATCTTGAGTGAAGGAGACTGACAGCTGTACTTCTCGTCACCTTGACAGATGAAAGACTTGTGTTCTTGTTCTCCGGCTGAACACTTTTATCATGTCTCTCCCTCTGTCTTATCCCTCTTACCTCTGTTCTCATTTGTCTTTACCTCCGTCTTCTCACTTGTATTGGATTCTTTCTTCTTGTACTTCTTGAACTGATTTACTCCCCAATTGCCTTTTTCTTTCTTCCACTTTCTTTGCTTTTCGTCTTAGTGTTTTTGTCCTCTCATCCTTTTGGTTATTTGAGGACGTGAGCGCCGTGTCTCAGGCCACTGGAGGACTTTTAGAAGTCAACAAGAGAGACTGTCACGGTCTCTCGGGTTTCTGCACTCACACTCACAGAAATGCGCACAAATGCATTCAGTGTTGAGTCCTCAAATTCCCCACAAAGAGCTTCACTCCCACAAGGCAAGAGAGAAGAAACAAAGAGATGGACTGTTTTTTGTACAGCCGTCTCTTTCTCCCCTCCTCTCGCTGTAGTTCTCTGCAGTGCAGTACAAACATGCCGAGTGATCAAAGAGTCTCTGGGTGTCAGAAGCGAGGGACACAAGGACGTGTGAGGAAGACGAGATGAGGACAGGAGGAAGGAGAAACAGAGCTGTCCATCACACATCCCATCAATCTCAGTGCAGCTGGTTTCCCAGAGGCACCTCAGTGGACTCCTGCTCACCTGGAGGACCGTCTTCTTCTTCATGTCTGAGTTTAAGGGTTTAAAGGGTTTCTAATAAAGTAAGGGAAATACAAAAAAAAAACATAAATATAAGGAGATCTTTCTGTACCACTTTACAATAAGACTACCCTTATAAAGGATTCATAAAGGGTTTATGAATTAGGTTGTAAACACTTTATTAATCATTAAAAAACATTTATAAACCAGATCTAACATAGTTTTCCTACATCAACACAGGCTCACTATTTGGCAAGATGACTAAGCCTTATATTGGCTACTAGCTTACTTTTGTCTTCTTCATCAGTCAGCATACACCAAGGATGCTGGCTGATGAAGGAGACGAAGTAAGCTAGGTAGCCAATATAAGGCTTAGCAGTCCAGATAAATGTGGGCTCACTATTTGGCAAGCAACCGGTCACAGTCGCTCTGTTTATCTCATGTCTTATAAAAGCTTATTAATGACTTATAAAGTGTTCAAAACATAATTAATAAATTAATTACAAACTATTCGTGAACCCTTTATAGGGGTAGTCTTATTGTAAAGTTGTCCCGATCTTTCTCTAGCCATGCATAGTTCTCTAGTACCATACACTGTAACTCAATAAACCAATTAAAATGTTAGAATTGATGATAATAGTGGTGATAATCTGACTTTTTACTCAAGTAAAAGTATTTGCTGTTGGGGAAATATTTTCCAAGGTCCATAACTTTGACCCAGTTTATCAGTTCATACTGTCCTGACTGAGCACACGCACCTGTAGCCTTGGCTGCTGTGCTCTCAGTGTTCTTTCTCCCTGTTCCTGCCTGTTGGCGTCAGCTGATAGAGGTGTTATGNTATCTTGTTATGCAGCATGTTGATTAGTCTCTCTGAACTAGCTAAATACACGGGTCTGGGGTAGAGTTCTTGAGAATTGACGTGGCAACTCTACCGTGAAGTCAGAACCTCTGGCTCTTGGACTTGTGATGTGAATTCTCCGGCCGAAGCTCCTATAATAAACCATCAGTGTTTGACATCAAAGCTCCTGCTCTTCCCGTGTCTCTTTCCTGAGTCGGTGACTCCTCCTGCATTGCTACACAGAAGTTTCCCTTACATTAGCCATTAGTGAATATCACTCTCACTTACTGTAAGTATTGCCATCAAACTTTGTGCACCAAAATAAAAAGTACTTATAGTGCCAATGTTAGAGATATTCAATTATGAGAAGAACGCTCAAAGTAGAAATACAAAATCGTAAAAATATGTTTTTACAGTTAAATCTCCTTCTTTTAAAGTCTTACTTCAGTAAAAGTACAAAATCATTGGCATCAAACTGTAATTCACGTACCAAAAGTAAAAGTACACAAAAGCCCATTCTATACATGTATTGTATGACTATTGATGCATTACTGTGGTCATCTCATCTGGTTAAAGTCAAGATAATCTTAACCTGTAATAATTTATCAACGGCTATTCATCAGTTTATTCACATTTTGTAAATGTATTAATTGGAAACAGTAAAGTAACTAAAGCTGCCTGTCAGATAAATGTATTTACAAAATGTGAATAAACTGATGAATAGCCGTTGATAAATTATTACANAATCTGAACTTTTCAATCCGCTTACGATTTAAACTCATTTAAATGGAGCGCCTCCCAAGGCCCGCCACCCACCTCTATG